ATTCATTCATTGATTCACTGCTTCTAATTATCGATACTGATAGAATGCAATATTTTGATTTTTTGATCAAAAACTGTGGGTTAATTTTTTTGAGTTTAGTAAAGCAAAATAGATCGAACATGTTTTGGCAACTTTCAAAATTGAATGAGAGATACTTGTCAAATTATGCATTTCTTGAAATCTTACCGTGATGACCAAAGCCGTCTTCACCTAGAACGTTAAAAAAATCACAATGTAATTCAAATCCTCCTCTTGAAAATTTTGTTATAAGGCCAAAAATGGTTCGATCCTGTTCATTTGGTGGTGTCACATTTTCTGTAGCCGATTTCAAAGTTTTCTTGCTCAGAAGACATGTTGTCTTCTTACCATTTTCATTAACATCATCAATGAGTAAAGCGTAAATTCGTGCTATTGAATGAGCATTCGAAATACCATTAGCAGCTGGTATGGCAGCTTGATGTACTGAACGTCGATTGAAAACGAATTCATCACTATTAGGTGACCTCAAAGGAAAGGCACCGTTGCATGACATTGACTTTTCGATGAGAGGATCCATTTGTGGTAAACTAGCTAGGTGACCGTCATTCTTAAAGAGAAAAGAGCAACAAAAAGCATGAAGAGCAGTAAGACAACTTTCAATATTACATATCTTGCTAAACTCAGCATCTGATTTTGACGAAACCTTCGCCATTAGTTTTAGTATACAACTTAGGTAAATGAGACTCGACCCAGATATAACATCTTCATTTTTGACAGATACAATTGACACATGAGTGTTGAAGGATATAGCGAGAAAATTGAATTTCTTTCCTACAGACGGTTACAAATAGACAGACAGCACTGATAAAGCTATCGAATGTCACGATGATTCATGGAGCTGGGACTTTGCTTAACGAGTAGAACAAATTCATCGTGTTTCACATTTCAATCCAGCAGGGATTAGGCTGAAAGCCTTTCCATTGCAAGATTCCAATTCGATTAGCTTGTGTGATCATGGGATGAAAACAGTATCTTTATAGTGTATATTGAATGATTTCTCGAAGCGAGTCAATAACTGTATTATATATAGTGATACTCAAATCGATATTGTACGATTAAACACTTTGCATTTCATCTTTTTGAACGAGAGAACACTCATTAAAATTATATGAACAAAATTTCAGTTGCTTTTACCATACCTACATCCACAGCTTCTATTCTCTCTGTTTAAAAACTACAAGCCATAAAAGTATTTTAATGACTGATATATAGCTATGATAGTTTCTTCAATGTTCTGCAATAGAAAACATATGCTTCTTGACTTTAGAGTAGCTTATGGAGTGGCTTTTAAGATGTTTTTTCTTACTTTAGCAAGGAGAGGAGCGACACGCGCTTCAACATTGTTATCAGAAACCCCCACATAGAATTCAGGATCCAATTCATCACGAACAAATTGGCTATAAGAACGATGCTGAGGATCAACTCTCTGAACAAGTTCTCCAGCCAAAAATCCAAATGTATACGGATGATAACCATGTGTTGTTCCGGGTTCCCAATGAGGTTTCTGCTTAGCCAATAAAGAAGTTATTCGAGTCCAATCCAACACGTCATTAAGTGTGAGTTGTTCGTCGACACATGGTAAGCCAGCTCGGTGAGACATTAGCTGACTCACCGTTATATTCTTCAATAGAGAAAAAATATATGAATATTAAATTGATATGAAAATATAAATTATAAAATTGATTCTTTCTAGTTCATATCAGAATGTTAGAAGCTGTTTTCTGTCTTTTTTAGTAGCAATTTGTTCCATTTTTTTGTTAATCATTGTTAAATAGGTATGAATTCAATGATGAATCTTTTCTGTTTTTACTGTTTTTCATTTTTCTCTTTTTATTTCTTCTTGGTAGATCGGAATGATTCCGATCGCATTGTTTGTCGAATCTTTCGTGTGGTTATCTTCTTTTTGATGGAATACACATGGCTAGGGAAGGGTAGAATCTAGAAAAAATGAATAATTATTTACAAACCTCCTTTCCATTGACACTGAACTCAGGCCAATATTTGGCTACAGGTGCTTCATAATCGAGCCAACCTTTCTCCACACATAATGCCACAGCAGCAGCTGCAATACCTTTTGAAGTTGAAAAAACTAGTTGAAGAGTATCTGGTGTATATGGTTCTTTCTTTGTCTCTGCATCTTTCCAACCACCTGTCAAGTTCACTACACATTCTCCAAGGTGATAAATGCATAAGCTTGCTCCAGTATCGAACCCATCGGTTAAATTTTGTTCAAATTTTGTACGCACTTTTTCCCATCCAGGAGCTACATGGCCAAATACGTTGTTGTCGTTTGATGACGAAGACATTATTGAATAGATATGTATGTGTTACCACAATTTTTCTTTTTGTACAGCCTCTATATCGAGAATAAGCACATCAATGTTTTATCCTTTCTTTTTCTGATGGAAATAGAGATACGGACGTACGCCTCGGCTTTGTTTGACCTATTTTTGGATATCTAGAGCGACATATTATGAGAAGTATATCATATCGAGACTTGTTTCCTCTATTAAAGGAAGGATCATATGTAATAGTACAAATTTGTGTAATTGCATGCACATGTTTAGTCACGTGTCTGCATGTATTTATGAAGTTGGACCAAAAGAAATTGAGATCGAGGAATCCAAATCTATAATCCGTTTTTCGAAATTTTGAGTTTGATTTTTTTTCATCAAGGAAAGTCTTTTTTATGAAAAAATAAAATAAGTTTGTATCTATACTTGTTTGTAGTCAGGTGTATAGTCACTTGCATCCATATATTTCTGAGAAATCGAATAAACTATCCATGATGACTATACTTTGAGTCACACTATCAGTCAATCAAATTTGTTTCCTGTTAGGTAGCACTCTAACAGTATTCATTGTTATTTCCTGTATTGTTTATCATCTTTGTTGTGTGTATGTGTGTCATCATTCTCAAGTATGCGCTATCCATTCTTGTACAATATAAGTCAATGTTCTTTTGCTTTTCCTTTCTTTTCTCTTCTTTCTCTTTCTCCTTTTCGATTTGTCCTTGAAAATCTCACCAAAATCTCAAACTTTCTTCCTGTTTTTAATTGCATTTTAAAAGAAAATAACTTCATTATTATATAGTGTAGTCCGAAGCAGGGCAACAATATCTACTATCTCAGTGAAATGTATTCGTAAGAAAATCAAGATTATTTTTGATAACTGGTGTCAAAATTTCATTCTTTAGATGAAACTTCAAAGTTTCGCAGAAAATTCGATTAACATTGATTACAGTTTGTAAATCGATTGAAAATTATCTCCTTCATGGATTATTTTTCATTATCTCAATTGTAATTCATTTTTTATGAACAATCGATTAAAATCTCTATCGACAAAAATCCAACTCATGATTTTTCATTTGTTTAATAATGATTATTTGAGCCGATAGAGAACTGAATGATTTTGGCTGACACGAGACATATTGGTCGGAGTATAAGTTCCTACTATAACAACGACAAATAAAAATATCATGTAACATATATCAGAATAGAAGTTCTACAACAAATGCAATCTATATTGCAAATAGTTCTTTTGAAGTTGAACAAAAATACATAGTATCGAAAAGACTTGTCAAATATTTAGATGTCTACAGTAAGAGATTGTGATCAATTTAATACTTAGATACATTGATTAATTTTTCTTTTATTGAAATCAAAATATGAAAACTACTTAATCAATTTCTTGCCCATATTAAATTACATTTGTTTCTAGGATCATAAGTTTACAAATGAGTAGATTTAAATCACATGGGATGTATACAAAGTCGTCGAATGCCTTGCTTCACGGTTCTTTTAAACGCATCTTTATATGTTTTTGAGGATAATACATATACAATAAATGCCATCATTGATGGTAAAAATGAAATTAAATAACCGAAAAGAAATAATCATGAATTACGTGATGATTTCATACATCCACTAATAAATGATATAATTAAGCGTGGTAACGCTAATAATACTAATGCACATGATGCAATCATATGATGTTTATTTTGTTTGAATTGTACTTGTAAAAGTTCTTTGAATGATAATCTTGGCTGTAGAATTAAACGAGAATGAGTTATTAAAATAATAATAAATAGAATAGAAATTAAATTAATGCTAAATGAAATAATAAAATGTACGATTATGACAAATGAGTTAAAGATATTGATTGAAGAAGAATATTGAACTAGACACCAAATTCGTTGTTTATGAGTATCAATATCATCAATCAAATGACGATGTAGAGGAATATGAAGATGACTTATTGATGTACAAAGAATGACACTTAAAGTTATCCATTTAGCTAGTTTTTTTACTTTTATGTTTATTAAATCTATTATGTTTGATAACAATAAATATTCGTTCAACAGAGACACATCCATCAAGCCAATCATTTGAAGCCAAAAGAACTTGAAGAATCATATCTAACAACATACAATTTAAAGTAAGCAATGTTCGATTAGTAAGAATAGCCATTTGCGATAAAACTAATAGTCAATATTTGATAATCAATGTACCTATTATGAATATAGAAATGTATGATGAAATTAATAAATAAAAATTCCAACCAATATCTCTTGTTATTTTCATACGAAATGTTGATACTGACAAAATTCCATTGATCAAACCAAAAATGAACATAACTGTCGTGAACAATACACTTATTTTAACAATTAATGGTTATCGAAAAAGTAAAACATTTGGTTTAATATGATAACTAAGAATATAATCAAGTGATAAAAGACAACTTCTTGTTGAAAATTGACATTTTGTTCCATAATAACAATCTGAACAAACACATACTGATACACTAGGACATGTGATATTGTCTTGAAAACATTGACCACTATTTTCACAATTACTATAACCTTGACAATCATAAGTAGTTGAATGATTGAATACAAAACAATTTGAGAATCGATCCAAATCATATATACACATGTAAGTTTCATCATAGAAACACATTAATTATTGATATTGTCGACAAAGAAGAGGATAATATTTGATATGATGAAGACGAGGATAAGAACGAAAAGTTGTGTTCAATAATTCATCTATAGAAATACAGCGTTGATTTGATATTAATTCAGTTTGAATATATTCTGATTCAATAAATCTTTCTCTTAATATAAGCAAATAATAAGTATGATTAAATAATTCACCTATGATAATATGAAATGGATGAGTGACAAAGAGTGTAACTGCATTTTCATCATAGTTGATTTTTCTCAATGTTGTTATACGTTGATGGTTCGCATTTTCAAATGCAGTGATATAATGTATAAATACAGCTGTCGTTCGACTAATTGTTTCATTAAATTTAATATAAATTCTGTTTTTAATATTTTCACATCTACTTCCATAAAAACTTTTCTTACAAAGACATGTAAACTTGTTAATACTTATACGATCATCAACAAGTACACAAAGTCCATTATTTTCACAGGGATTATTTAATGATTGACAAATTGCATGTTTCAAATAGCAGTTTGGACCGTATTTGTTCATGGAACAAACACAAATAGATGAACTATAACAAAATGAATCCAAGGAGCAAGAACAATTTTCTTCAATATTACATTGTAAACCAGAATAACCTTGATCACATTGACAAAAATATAAAAAAATTTTATTTATGCATCTCATACATCGACCATGGTTTCTACAAGACAATAGACAAGATTTTTGTTGTTGTTGTATATTTGGAATAAATAATTGAGTAGCTATTCGATTCACTGGTAGAAACTGAAAAGAAATCGATAGATGCCAACTTGCCAAAAATTTTAATGTAATTTTATCAAAAAGATCGATGTATATTGGGCAATTAGTCGAAGAATTTTTTCGTTGGTCAGGATAAAGTAAATAGATATTAAATTTTGTTCCACAATCACGTTTTGGTACATATGTAATTTGTTCATAATAAGATGTGATTTGTCTATGTTCATCAATAAGCATGATAATAACTTGAAATACGGACATAATATAAGTAATAGTACGATATATTAATTGCAATGTTAAACTAATACGTTGATTTTGTCATTGTCATCGATCACCAAAATAACTTGAAGGACAAAGACATTTAATATTTTTATTATTTTCAAATAGCATAGGAATTTCTCGACTACAATACCAATTACTTTCATACGACAATGCATATATAACTGTTCTTCCATCGAATTGAACAGTTTGTTGAACAGCGGAACTAATAGAAGCGGGTGAAATATAGTCTAATCGAGATGTTCTTAGAGATAGTTTCGATTCTCTTGTCGTAACTCTTTGTGATACTAAATGACACAATATAGTATGATCGGTCTCTTTCGTAATAGCAGCTAGTATTTTATAAGCAGATGGTATTTTAGTTTGTATTGAACAAATATCTTCCTATGCGATTGATACTGATCGGAGATGCACAGAAATATGCTCTGAAGTGACACATTTTGTTTCATTCCATAGAAAGTAATTCGTAGAATTTTGATGCATACCATTATTAAGATAAATTTTACGATAGAAAAAAGGCGAAGTCCAATTTGAATATGTTTCGATTAAATGAAATACTGGTATGCAATAATGCTCATTTCCAAACGCAGCTTTACATATGTGTTCGTGCAAAGAACATTGTGTTCTAGAACAATTGAGCTCATCAATACCCTTCAAACAATACCAACGATTATCACATTCAAAATATGGATTATTACATGGCCACCATTCACAATGAGTTTCATCGGTTTCATTCGATATATTTGTCCACTTCAAATCATTTTCACCATCGCAAACAAGTGCCAATGGTATATTTCCCTTGGAAAGATGACGTTGATATTCATCCCATTCATCTTCACCATGCTGACAATCTTCTTTTCCATTCTGGAGAGTAATAATTGATAAACTTTTATTTGTTTATGATTCACAAGTAAATCCTCATAAATCATTCAACTCACAAGCAGAAAATGATTCATCTTCAGCGAAATAACAGTCATTTTCACCATCATTTAGTTGATGTTTTGAAATGCATTTGAATGAATGTGAACAGTGAAATAAAGAGGCATGTGAACATGATTGATCTGTACAAATTGTAGAACATTGTAAAATGAGATCTTTGAAAATAATATACAAACTTTCATCCCAAAACTTCAATTTCTCATTTGTTAGACTAGTGGTTCGACAACAATTGAGTTCATTATTAATTTCAATATCTTCTGTACAGAATATCAATGCAGGACATCGGCTTGCATTGAAATAAATAAAATCAGGCATCAAATTTTGCTTAAAGTCAATAACAGATCGATTATTGAAATAAATAAATTGAAAGAAACCGTACAACATAGGATATTCAGGTCAAAAAAACCATTTGTATGAGCAATGATTGACAAGAGTTTTACAAAAATTATTGTTATTTGACTTTATTTTATTATCAATTTGATCAATACGAAGTAAACAATAAAATATTTGTCGACAATTTATATTCGAACTATAATCCAGTGAAGTAAACATAACGAAAGACATATTTTCATCGCGATAATTATTACAAGTATGTCGAAAATATGGTATCAATCGGTCGTAATATTCACCATCGCCACATGGAAAATTGAGAGAACGTCGACTTTTATACTCTTCACATCGAAATGTTGGACTGAAAGCACATCTAGTTTTGTAAAAGAGGAACTTGTCATGTGTGTCGCTTTCATCACTACCATCAAGACAATCTACACTTATCTGTCCATCGCGAACAAATATTAATGGAATACATTG